GGTTCTGGGACCACAGCAGGCTTCTGGATGCCCTGACCTGTTTGCTGCCCTGCTGAAGTGGTTTCAAGAAGACAGGTCTGGCAGGGGCGCTTCATGGCAGCGATACTTCTGAGCCGTGGCTTACACTGACAGTAACGAACACGGCTAAATCCTAGCACCCTCCGTGTCAGGCATTTCGTTCGCTGCCGTTTGGACAGTTGCACTTAGGGCTGTTGGTGCCAGAGTGAAGATCAAAAGCTGGACTGTTGGATCTAAAGTGACTTCAAAGGAAGACAGATGTGACTGTGTTTGCACACTTTTGTTCCCTGACCCTTGTGTCACAGCTGTTCCTTCATGTCAGGATGCACAAGCCACAGGTTTGCAAGCACATGCTTGCATTTTCCACTGGACTCAGACTGAGACCTTCTACCTGCAAACCATTATGTGTCACCAGCCATTCCCAAACTCAGCTATCCGGGAAAGCCGCCACATGGGATACCAGGGGCACCGAGGATGTTTCAGACAGGACTGCCCAAGCCAGTGGACATCTGTGAGACTAGCTTTGGAACCAAAGGGGCACCACACTTTGGGCCAAGCTGAAAACGTGCCAGGTGATCCTGGCTTTCTGCTAGTGAGACCTGGCTGACATACAGCAGCTGCATCCCAAAGCTGGAACCTCTCCATGACAGCTCTTTCCAAAAACATGGGGCGACATGATCTCTTTTTAAACCCAGAGACCCTCCAGCAGGTAAGAGACAAGTGGCACATGTGCCAGGGTGACTGTTGTACGTCTTTGATGGTCCAGACATGTATTGAAGATGCTGGGAAGCAACCTCTCTGCAATAAGGTGGCCCCTAGCAGAGGAGACGATGGTAGATCTCACCTCAAAGGCTGCCTGAAGGCTCAACTTGCTCTCCAAACACCTGAAGGGCAGTAGTGGATCCAGGTAGGCACAAAGGAGAGGCACCCCCCAACACGCCCCCTCCCCCCACCCCAACCACACTGGTGTGTCATGCATGCACAATGAGTTCTGACTGGGGTGGGGTCCAGGGGCTGCTGCTTCCCCTCCCTCCCCACTGTATTCAGCAGCAAGGGAAAGGAGGGCTTGAGCAGCCCACAGGCTCCAGAGCTACTGGAAAGCAGGGGCTCTGGGCAGACGCCGTGCTAAGAGCTCACCTGTGGCACAGCCAAAGCGGGGTCCGACCACACGATCGGGGGGTCCGACCCCAGATCTGTACCTGTACTCAGGTGTTGCCCTTTTTGGCACCAGCCCGGCAGAGCACTGAGCTGACATGGCAGGGGGAAGTTCTCTTGACGGCTCCTACCTGAGGGGCTGTGCTTTTTGAGGGGGAAAAACTGCCCAAGACATGAGAAGAAAAAAAAGGCACATTCGTAGAGGGCAAACACCATGAACTGGGTGGGACAGGGCCCGGGTGGAAGGTACAAAAGTGCATAAATTGGCCTTGCAGGAGCTCAGCCTAGAAAGTCAAAGGCTCCCAACCCTCAGAGCAAAAAAGGTCTTGCCCAGGTGCCTGCCAGCCCCATGGTCCTCTCGCCCCAAAGGGTGGAGGGTGCCTTGTGACCATTGCGTTGTTGGTTACTGTCCTGCACGTGATTCCAGCTGGAACGGATCTGCTGTCGGTTCCCAGCCTGCCAGTTTTTTTTGCACCTTCAGACTGTCGGCTCGAGGAGCCCTCTAGTGTCAGCTGCCTCCTCCCTGCGTATGACCAACATTGCTCCCAACCTCCTCTTCAGTGCACTGAATACGCCAGACTCCTTCATTCACCCACACCAGGGAGGTGTTTCCAGACCTCCCGGGTTCTCCTCTGAAAATTTTCCCAATTCTAGGCATTGTTTTCCAGGTATTTAGTCCAGAGGCGAGTGCTCTCAGCAAAGGCTTGGACAGGGGCAATACAGCCTCCCTCCACCTTCTTCTGAGTCCCCTAGTTCATCACTTCTTAAGTTGTGACCTGGCCACATGTTCACGCCATTAATGGCATGATAAAACGAGGAATAAGCCACTGGGTTATCCCACAAAAATGTGCAAGAACTTTGTGGTTCATTCCTATCATGCCATTAATTGAACATGTGGCCAGATGCTCCCCTGTGGCTGGGAGCCCATCAGCTGATGGGACTCCCAGCCGCAGGAATTTGCTACGGCAATACGGCTTGATGGGGGCTGATTCTGGGTCCCACAGTCCCACCTCGCTGGAGGCACAGATTGTGGGTCAGATCCTCTCATGCATTTACCTGCATGTCTGGCAGGGGCCTGAGGGAAGGAGGAGTCTGTCTGGAGGGAGCTGGATCTCACTCTTGCTGGGAGGATCCATGTTGCTGATAGCCACACACAGCAACTCAGGGCATCCCTGGAGGGATGGGCACGCTGTAGAGGGCAAGGGAAGGAATGGAGACCATCCACGTGTGGTCATGTTCGATGCCCTCTCCGCTCTGCAGTAGGGGTGGCCCAGCAGTGTGCCCCTGTGACTGTCCCCCTGCCTGGCAGGACAGCCTCCGACCCTCTGGGAGAAGACTCCAGAGGAGCCATCACCACCCACTGCAGTGAGGACCAACTGGTGAGGACTGCTCTTGAGATAAGGCCTGATCTGGGTGCAAATGGGAGGACGGAGGGGTGAGGGCCAGCCATGGCCAGGAGCCTCCTTCCCATTTGGCATTCCCAGGCCCCTTCACGGCGCCCGAGCTGCAGCCCCGTGGTGGCTCCCAGACACCAGCCCTCGTTGCTGGCCAGTAACTGAGCTGGCTGGGAGCTGCGAGTGTCCAGCTCCCCTGCCCCTGCCCCTGCCCCAGCTTAGTGCCATGCAGTCCAGCTGGCATGAGCTGTATCCCAGAAACCTCTGGGTGAGGTGACCCTGGGGCAGCCGTAGTGCCCAAGGGGATCTACCCCGGCGGGGACCAAAACTTTTTTTTTTTTTTAGGAAATGTTTCGTGTTCCCAGCCAAATCAGGTCCAAATCCATGAGTCAGTCCAGAACCATAAGTGGCCCTACAATTGGCAAACATCCTCCACCCCGACCAGGGGCTTCAGATATTTCTGAAGTCCTTTGGCAGGCATCCTACATGCAGGCCCAAGCCCGGAGGCTTGTGGTTTGGATGCTCCCAAGTTTTGCCTGCCCTTAGCCATATAGCCAAGCACCTGAGGAAACTGGATTTAGAGCTGAAATCTCAGCCCAGACTCTGGGAGGTGGCGCTGCTGCTCCCTTGGGCATCAGGGCCAGCTACGGGCTCCTGCCTCCCCTGTTCTGCCCTCCATCCTGTGTCCCTTGGCTGTCCACAGGTCTGCTCTGTCTGCCCCAGCCTGGCACCTAAGTCCCTTTCTCCCAGCCCCAGCCCTGCCCCTGCTCTGACTACACAGCCACGATCCCTACTATTGTTCATCTCCATTCATTTCTTTGCCCGGCTCTGCACCCCGGGGGCCTCTCCTGGACAATGCAGCCTGAGGAGGGGGCACAGGTCTGCCCTGCTCTACTGGTGCCCAGCACAAAGGCCAGTGCCGCCCTGCCCCCAGCTCCGCGCCTCCTGCATCAGCAGATCCGTGCCCAGCGGGGCTGGCCAGCCTGGGGCCAGCGGCTGCCAGAGGCTTCCATGCTATTGTGGGCCTTTGTCATCCCAGGGACAATGGGGTTGGGAGCAGCAGGTGCAGGGGCGCTATAAAAGCCCCATTCCTGTAGCCCTGCCCCGTCCCTTTGCCTGGGCCTCCGGCAGATCCCTGGATAGCAAACACAGCAGCAGGACAGAGCAGGGAGAGCTCAGCCCTCTACAGCCATGGGCTGTCCTGCCCGCAAGCCCTGAAGCAAGGTACAGCTCCCCATCCCTCACCCCTTGACTGTATCTGTCCGTCCATCCCCAGCCAGGGCTATCTACCTGTCTGTGCCCAGATGGAGCCATCTATGTGTCTGCCTGTCCCAGTGTCCGGGTACCAGCCTGTGAGCAGGGCTGATCGCACCTGGCACCTCATGGCTGGGAGCCCCATCGAGGGTGCCCCAGCTGCTGGCAGGTGCTCAAGGTGGGTTGTGCCAGTCACTGATGGACCAGGCCCTTACGCTGGGGTGGTTCAGCCAGGCAGGGGCTCGGACATTTTCAGGGCTTCCCCAGCAGGGAACCCACCTGCCTGCTCTACTGGGCTGGGGCCAGGGAGCCCGTGGTCAGGACTGGACACTGCTGACAGGGCAACTGGCCCTCTACAATGTGCCCAGTGGGGCAGCAAGGGATTCAGGGGGGTTTCGGCCCTGGAGCACTTGGCACAGCCCATCCCCAGATCCAGAGCATGGGTGGGGTGGGCATAGGGTGGGAGCCTGTTTTCTGCAGTGCTAAGACTGAGATGGTGTGTGATGGGGAGGGTGTGGAGCCAGGGTACGCTTGTAGTGGGTGGTAAGGGTGGGCAATTGGGGCTTGGGGTGGGCTCTGTCCCGGGCTCAGCTGGGGGTTGCTGATGCCCTTGTTCCTGCCTTGCAGCCCCAGCCCAGCCCAGCCGCCCCCGTGGGAGCAGCCCAGAGCCTGGGCCCTGACTCGGTGCTTTCTCATGGAAGCATCAGGAGCGCGGCCCATTGTTGGGAACAAAGGGGTCACATTTGCCTGACGTAGGCATCCCGTGGCCTGGCTCCAGGGCACATTGTTCCCTAGCTCCATGGCCAGATGGGAGCCAGGGGCCTCTGCTCATTGCCAAGGGCTACTTCCAGTTGAGGCCCCTGCACTGAAGCCTGCAATACAGTAGGCCCTGGTCAGCATCAGTCCCTTCCCATCACTGGCTCAGGCACTGCACCATCCCCTTCCCTCTTCCCCAACCAGCTTCTCCACCCTGGTGCCCAGGACCCCTGCCCTGCTGTGCCCCACATCTCACTTCCCCACCTGTGGCCCCAGTGCCCTAGGTAGCATGTGACACGAAGGCTGGTGGATGCTGAGGCCATGCTTTCTCTGTCCTTCCCTTTCCTAGGCAGCTCCCACTCCTCTCTCCGCCTCTGGAGGACGCTGCCAGCACCAGACCCAAGACCCTGCGCTCAGCCCGCGATGCACAGCCTGATGGGCGGGGGCCTGCTGTGTGCCGTGTCCGGCTTGGTCCTCCTCATCGTTGCCACAGCCACCGACTTCTGGATGCAGTACCGCTACTCAGGCAACCTGAGCCACCAGGGGCTGTGGCGCTACTGTGTTGGCGGAAAGTGCCATGTGCACACCATCACCATTGGTAAGCAGGGCACGCAGCACTGCCCAGCCCAGCCACACCAGGGCTGAGCCGGTGGAGGACAGCAGGGGCCCTGGAGATGGGTAGGGGGCACCCACATGCCTTTGGCACCCTTGGTGTTGCCAATCCAAGGTGCCCGTGGTGAGGCCCAGCCAGGAGGCTGCTGGGGGTTGGGTCCGGAGGAGGTGATGCCCAGTCAGGCTGTAGGTGGCCGATGCCCAGCCAGACCTGCCTGCAACCTCTGTGAGTGCACAAGTGCTTCGTGGTGGCCGGAGCACACAGAACTGTTCCAGCTCAGCTCCTTCCCCTTCCACCTGGCCTCTGCCCCCAGTCTCCTGCCTTCCCCCTACTGCTCCCAGGAGCAGCTCCCACAGCCTGAGACCCCCAAAACTATCTATGTGTGTGTACATGTGTAAGTGTGTGTGTGTTGGGGGGTGCCAGGTCCATCCAGACCCCACTGAGCATTGGTGACGAGGAGGAGCTGCCTCTGGGGAAGCAGCAGTGTGGCAGCTCCCACCCCTGCCTGCCTACCCCTCTGTCAGGATCAGATCTTGCCCTGCAGATGGGCAAACTGAGGCACAGAGCAAGGTGATGCAGGGGCAGACACAGGAGACAGGCCTCCAGGGCCCATGTGCCGTGGACGTTAGAGCAGCCCAGAGGCTGCTCTCATGGACACGAGCAGGAGGCCCCATGATGCAGAGTGGGAGTGGTCATGGCCGGACGCTGGCTGGCACAGCCCCCTGGCAGCCCTGTCTGGCTCTTGGTGGCACCATTTGTGTACCCCACCCTGCCACCACCATGGCCTCCCCAGCGCCTCCGCTTGGAGCCGCGTGACTGTGATTCTGTGTTTGCAGGAGCCGCTCTCCGGGCCGTAGCAAGGATGCCCCTCATTCAAAATGCAGCCACTCGCATCCTCTCAGGTACCCGTCCTGCTCCGCTCACGCCCTCTCCCGCCTGCTCCAGGCTCTCCCAGGTGTTGCACTGGCTCCCATGGGCTTTGCCCAGCCAGGCCCTGGAAGCAGCCTCTCTACCTCCCACCCCATCCCCTGCCAGCTCCAGGGCACCGGTGGGCTCTGGAGCAGGACTCACAGGGAGCAGAAATACCATGACCACCAAGGTGGTTTTCCTACTAGCAGGGGGAAAAAAACCATGAGGCCATGCATAGTTAGCCTCCCACTTTCACTTCCAGTGGGAGGATCTCGGCTATATGCCGACTTTGTGCAAATAGGAGACTCCTTCCTAGCTTGCTCCTGCAGCCATATGGCTGAGGGCAAGCAAAACTCAGGGGCATCTGAACTCCAACCCTCTGGGCTTGGGCCTGCACTAAGGATGCCTGCTGAAGGATTTGGAAGTATCTGAAGCCCCAGGCAGGGGTGGAGGATGCTTGCTGGTAGTAGGGCCACACATGGTTCTTGAATGATTCACACGGATTTGGAATTGATTTGGCTGATTTGATTTGGACCATGAAAAATTTTCCTTAAAAAAAAAAAAAAAAAAAAAAAAAACACACATTACAGTTCTGGACTGACTCGTGGATTTGGATTATTTGTGCTATTTTGTTTGGACCAAAAAAAAATTTTCTTAAAAAAAAAAAAAAAAAAAAAAAAAGACACACAGGGAACCTTGGCTCAGTGCCCAGCAGGACCCCAGTGCTAGAGCCGGGGGCTATGCCCCCAGGACAGGAGCCCCTGATTCTCCAAGGGGCCAGGCTGAAGGGAACGAGGGGCACTCACCTGCTCAGAGCCTAGCTGGGGTCTCAGTGTGGGCATCCGCCATGAGGACCCTACAGGCGGGTGCCCAGCACCTCTCGCTCCCTCCACAGCAGCCCCTGGGCTGGGCTGGAGACTGCTCCTGTGTCTTTCCTGATCTGCACAACACACAAGATCCAGCTCCTGGTGCCTCGAGCTGGTCACCAAGCCCCAGATGCTTCCTAATGCCTCCCCTCCTCTATTCTGTCCCCCTCTCTGCAGCCTTCTGGGATGCCACACGGGCCTTCATGCTGCTCTCCATCCTCTCCTGCTTCGCAGGCATCATCCTGGGGCTCACCACCTTCTCCAGCAGCGCCAGGCTGACACGGACCCGCATGGCGGGCATCACCCTACTCATTGCCGGTACGTGGGTACAGAGAAAGGCCACCAAATTGATAGGGAGCCTGGAGCCATTTCCAGACCAGGAGAGACTAAAAAGGCTAGTGCAGTATTTTGGAAAGGAGAAGGCTGAGGGGGTGAGGACAGAGGTCTAGGAAATCATGACAGGTGTGGATCAAGGGAGCAGGGAACTGCTGCTCACCGGGTCCCAGCACACTAGAGCTTAGGGGCACCCACGGAGATGAGTAGGGCACTGGATAGGCATAGATCACCCTGGAGACATCCAGTTTGACGCTCTCCCTCTGTAGCATCCACCCCTGCCGCTGTGAGGGACAAGATACTGGCTTGGATGGACCATTGGTCTGTCCTAGTCTGGCTCTGTTGATGTTTCTACATGGGCTCAGGGGAGAGTAGTGCCAGGTCCGGCTTGTGGCAATGGGGCCATTGCTGGGCAGGGCAGGGCAGGGCAGGGCATCCTGCTGACCACAGTGGGCTTAGGCAGAGCTGGTATGGTCCCCTCAGGTGCCAGCCTCGTTGGGGCTGAGCTGGTGATGCTGAGCGACACCTGCAAAGGGGTGCTCCCTAGGGGGAAAAGACTCTGGGCACTGGTGACCCTGGCACTCCTCCAGCTAAGATGGACCCATGGAGGTGGCAGCAGCCCCAGGATCACTGGGACCCTCCTCGCCAGGGATCAGCCAAGGGGTCCTTTAGGCCCATGCTGTGCCCAGCACATACCTCCTTGCAGCTGTCTCAGAGGTGCTGGGTCCTGAGCATGTCCATGACTGAGTGGGCGAGGCCCCAGCCACCCCATCTCCACTGCTTCCCTGGCCCTGGGGCTGGGGGCTCCAGCAATGGGGCCCTTCATAGAGCCCTTGATTGTGGCTGCTGCCGGGGGGCCCTCACCCCGCTGGCCCTTGCCTGGCCCTGTCACCGCCTGGGCTGGACCAGTGCCTGCCAGGTCCATGCCACATGCCCTCCAGCCCACAGAGCCACCTGGGCTGAGTCCCTGCTGTGCTCCCCCAGGGCTGCTGGCACTGCTGGGCCTGTCCATCTACACGGGTGTGACGGTGAACGTCTTCGCTAAGCGCTACGAAGACTGGCGCTTCTCCTGGTCCTACATCCTCGGATGGGTTGGCGTTATCCTCACCATCTCAGCAGGTAACTCCCCGCTCCGCCTGCATCTCATGCTCCCGGGTGAGGGGGATCTGGGCTGTTGGGGGATGAGGGGGTCTGGGGCACAGAAGAGAGGGGCAGGGAGGACTCCCCTGGCAAGACCAGTCCAAACCCCCACCAGAGCCTCATCCCAGAGCTGGCATCGGTACCATGGGAGCAAAGTGCTGCAGGGGGTCCCTGGGGAGGGCAAGCTGCAGGGGAGCTGCCCCCTGCCCCAGCCTGACCTGAGCTCTCTCCCCAGGTGTGTTCCACCTGTTCGCCTTCTCCAAGGACTCATCCGTGGACAGCTCTGCCGTGGCCAGCAGCTGAGGAGCCCCATGCCTGGGAGACAGTCCTGTGCACCTGCCCACCCCCACCTCCCCTTGCCCAAGCCCTCGGCAGCTCCGCCTCTGGGATTCACCCCCAAGCCCTGCAGTGCCTGAGTGCCACTGCCAGCAGCCCCACCCCAGAAGGGCTGGGAACCCCCCAGCACTGCCCGCCTGCAGCCCCGTGTCCGGCCTGTGCCCACTCCTCCCTCCCAGGCCCCACGCTCAGTTGCCCCACAGCTGTGTTGCCTGTGATCTCTGTACCAATAAACCAGCTCTGCCCTCACGGTGTCTGGGTGCTGCGGCCCCCAGCAGGGTCCAGGGGCATTGCCAGAGCTGGAAAGAGGAGCCCTGGGCTGGGCTGGGGATGCTGCACTTTCCTGAGCTGGGGGAAGCAGTCTGAGGGAGGAGGACAGGTGGGGAAGGGAAGTGGGGCATGGATGGGGTGGGGGCAATGGCTGGGGGGTGGCAGGCAGCAGGCAGATGGGCAGGGAGGAGCAGAGGCAGAGCAGCCTGGCTGCAACTCAGTTACTCGCCATCAGCACCCACCACTTGCCCTGCCTGGCGACTCTAGCTGGGTGGCCTTGCCCCCACCCCTGCTCCACAGTGACCCATCAGGGTCCCTTGCCCATCCAGCTGCTGTTACACCTGACCACCTCTGCCAGCAGGTCCCTGTTGTGCCCAGGCTCAGGGAGCCTGCCCTTTCCCCTGGGGCTTCTCTGTGTTGGAGAAGTCCAGTGCTCCTGAAAGCCTGGTATTGGGGCACCGCAGGGAGGTGCAAGCTGGGGGCAGGGCCCTAGTCTGGCCACCCCCAGCAGAGGAGTCCAGCACCCCTGAGAGCGGGGTCAGGGTCTCAGGCATGTCCTGGAGGCCAGCAAGGCAGAGGGGAGTCCTGCTCAAGGAGAGCAGGCTTGCTAGCCTCCCCCCCCCCAACGGCTTCAGGCCTGTCCCCATCTAATGCCCACAGCTCTGGTGTCTGCTGGGGCCCTGGAGACCATGGCAGTGCAACCCTTTGGGTAAGCCAGCCTCTCGGGCATGCTGATGCCCTGTAGCCCGGTGCCCACAGCTCACAGAAGAAGCTCCCTGTGCACCTCCCTCTCATCGTGTCCTGTGACTCCAGCTCCTGGTGGTGTTGGGGACCACAGCAAATGCATGGAGGGATGAAGTTCACTGTGAAACCCCTACCCCAGGGAAGCCACCTGCTCAGGCACAAGTGCCTCCAGCCCCTGGGTTGCTGCCAGAGAGTGGGCTGGCTATAGTGGGCAGGGTGGGGGGAAGTGGGGACTTTGTGGGACCCCCAGAACACCCCCAGCTGGCTCTACCTGGCTCTGCAGGTAGACTGGAAAAGAGAGAGAGAGAGCAAGAGAGAAAGAGAGAGACACAGCAAGAGAGAGAGAGAGAGAGAGAGAGAGAGTGTGTGTGTGTGTGCATGTAGGTGTGTAGGTAGGATCTGTGCAACACTGTGTGTGTCAGCATGCGCACGGGGTTGTGTTTGTGTATCTGTGCATGTGTGTGTGTGTGTGTGTGTGTCGGGGCTGGAGTGTATTGGTGCATGAGTATGTGAATGCATGGAGGAGTGTCTGTCTCGTTGTTGTGTACATTAGATTGGGGTGTATGAATGTGTGTGTGTGAGAGAATACAAGAGGAATGTCTGTCTCATTACTATGTGTATTGGATTGGGTGTGTGTGTGCATGCGCCTGTCTGCTGTGTGTATATTGGATTGTGTTTGTATCTGTGTGAACTCCTGTCTCATGACGGTGTGTGTATTGGGGAGTGTGTGTATGTCTGACTGCTGCATGTTTATTGGATTGGGTGTGTTTGTGTGTGTATGTGTGCCTATGTCTATGTATCATTGTGTTGTGTGTATTGGACTCTGTGTGTGTGTGTGTGTGTGTGTCACTGTGTGTGTACTGGACTGGGTGGGTGTGTGTGCATGTCTGGGTGTGTGTACTGGACTGGGTGTGCACCTCCCTCAGGGGCCTACCCAGTCCTGGGGGCATCAGGCCCAAGGAGGTGTCTCCTGTGAGTCCTGGGGCGAGGAGGGGAGACAGCCCCTGGCCCAGGAGCCGGGGGTGAGGGAGGGCACACCTGAAAATATGAATGTGCACAAACCAGTGGGGCTGGCTGCGCAGCTTGGGAATGGAGACACCCAGCGAGGCGCTGACAGGCAGGCGCTGCCTCACAAGGGCGGGGGGTGCTTGTGGATGAGTGTGTGCACTTGTGTGTGAGATGACGCTTGGCCGTGAGTGTGAATAATTGTGTGTGTGGGAGTGCCAGCAGCCCAGACTGCGTGTTGGTTAGACAGGAGAGAACAACCCTCAGCCCCGAGGCCAAGCCCTGCTCCCATAAGAGGCTAGCCAGCACCACAACCCAATACACACAGCAACAACACCCAGAGACATAGAGACACACACACATCTACAATCCAATACATGCACTGCAATGAGACAGACACACACAATCCAATACACACAGCAATGATACACAGAGACATAGACACACACACACACATACACAGAGTCCAAAACACAGACATAGCAATGATACAAAGAGACACGCACACCTACAATCTAATATACATACAGCAACGATATAGACACACACACAATCCAGTACACACACAGCAGTGATACATAGACACACACACAATATCCAGTATACAGAGCGATGATATATATACGCGCGCGCGTGCACACACACATACACACAATCCCAGTGGGGATGTGTAGGGGGTGCATGGGGGTGCATGTGCACCCCCTGAGAGCACCGGTGCACTCCCTGACTGGCCATGCTCCCTGCTTAGGCGATGGGCAGTGGGGGGCACACGGAAGTGCCAGTGCCCACCTGCGAGCACCAGCCGGGGAATGGGAGTGCTGGATGAAGTGCCGAAGTCACTTCCGGAAGTGGCCGTAGGGATTGGCCGCCTCGCGATTGGCCAGGAGGGGATCCCCGCCATTGGTGAGATTGGCCATCCCTCCTGGTCAGTGAGAGTGGCTGTGGGGGGACCCCCTCTGGTTGCTGACTGGTCGCTGTGGGGGCATGGGCACCAGTTACCCATTCACAATCCAGTATACACACAGCAATGATATACAGACATGCACGCCCACAGAGCAATGATAGACACACACAGTTAGAATCATAGAAAGTTAGGGTTGGAAGGGACCCAGGAGGTCACATCTAGTCCAACCCCTGCTCCAAGCAGGACCAGCCCTGACTAGATCGACCCAGCCAAGGCTTTGTCTTAAAAACCTCCAAGGATGGAGACTCCACCACCGCTCTAGGTAATTCATTCCAGTGCTTCACCACCCTCCTAGTGAGAGTTTTTCCTAATATCCAACCTCAACTCCCCTGTCTGCAACTGGAGCCCATTGCTCCTTGTCTGTCATCTGCCCCCACTGAGAAAAGCCCAGCTCCATCCTCTTTGCAACGCCCCTTGCAGGTAGTTGCAGACTGCTATTAAATCCCCACTCAGTCTTCTCTTCTGCAGACTAAATAAACCCAGTTCTCTCAGCCTCTCCTCACAAGTCATGTTTCCCAACCCCTAAACCATGTTTGTTGCCCTCCGCTGGACTCCCTCCAGGTTGCGGCGAGAGGAGGTGCTGCGGTCAGACAAGGTGTCTGCCCTTATCTAATCTCCCTCCTCATCCAGGCCAGTAGGCTGCTTTTAGCTGCCAACCCTATATAATCCACCTCTAATCTAATCTCACGGTGTGGTTCCCACCCCTGACCCACTGCCCGGCCTCACTCAGCCCAGTCCCAAACCCACGGCTACGGGCTCTGAGCTGGGCTGAAAATGGCTCATTTGCATTTGGTTCCAGTCTGCTCCTCATCCTTCAGGACTGGAGAAGTCTGCATGGCTCCGATGCTCCAGGGGCTGCCGGGTAGCTGCCAACCACAAGGCCTTCCAGGTGCTGCACAGACCCCCAAGAGGGCTTTATAGACCATCTTTGGATCCCAAGATCTTTGAAGGAAAGGTACTGGACCAGAGTGGGGTGTAGCCATCAGTGCAGCACTGTTTCTGGCACAGCAGAGTCCTGATCCTAGTCTGGTCTGTGCAGCATGAGGACAACATGCATGAACATTGGCATTGTCACGGATGTGGGGGAGGCGACAATGAGGGCAGAAGTGATGCAGAGGGAAGCTAAAAGGGCAGGAAGGGGCAGTGAGCCGTGGGCCAGGCAGGCTGGGCTGGAGCTGATCAGCTGGCAGGGAAAGGCTGGGACCAAGAACATTGAGTCGCCACGTTTGTCACCCCCCATCTAAACCAACAGCCATCCCACTGCCGAGCAGGCCCAGGTGCTGGAGGCTGTGCAGGTGGGCTAGCCAGCAGGTGGAGATCAAGGATGCAGTGTGTAGGTTAGCTCCATGTGGAGCACCCATTTAGCAGTCCTGGAACAGAGAGAGTCACAAATAGCATTCAAGGCAGTATCTTCTCCTGGCTGAACCTGACTCCCAGGAACTGAGCCTGTACCACACCAGAACCCAGGGCAGAGAAAACACACACAGCTTCATACAGCCCATAAAGTAGCATTGTTGCAGCAGAGAATCATAAAGAAGTAGGTCTGGAAGGGACCTCCAGAGGTCACATCTAGTCCAGCCCCCTGCCTGAGGCATGATCAGCCCTATCCAAATTATCCTATACAAATCCATGTTGCTCCAGGATCCCAAACTTTCTCCGGCATGACACAGAAGTACTGGAAAGCCTGCATGTAGCACCCATGTGGTGGTGGCTGCCATAGCAGCTCTGCAGACACCGTCTTGGTTCCAAATAAACTGTCCAGATGCCAGTGACACGACGCCTGCTTTTGCATCCAGGTCACCTCTGTAGTACCAGGACTCTTCAGCAGCCCTGGCCTTCCAGCCACGTGCCTGCAGATAGACATCCCAGGCCCCCTCCAAACTCTTCCCCTGGCATCCTCCTAGTTCCACACGTCCCCATGGTTCAGACAGCGCCTGTTGCCAACACAGATGCTATTTATTGACCCAGTCTCTCCCTGGCTCGATGTGAGCAGAGATTCAGATTCCAGATCTTGCAGCAGAGCGGAGGAAAAAACCACCTTTCTAAAGAGAGACTCCCAATTCTCCAGCCAATAACTACCATACTCTTTGGAGGACCAGGTTAACCAGCCCTGGGCAGGACTAGCAGAGCCTGGGAATCACAGCAGGAAGGGAGGAGCTGGCATGGATCTCCATCCCATGCAAAAGCCAGGTCCTGGTTTTCATCTCCC